TGGGGCTGTTTTTCTGCTAAGGGCACAGGACGACTTCACCGCATTGAGGGGCAAATAGTCAGGGCCATGTAATGTAAAATCTTGGACGAGAACCTCCTTCCCTCATCCAGAACACTGAAGATGGGTCATGGATGGGTCTTCCAGCATGACAATGACCCGAAACATACCGCCAAACCAACAAAGGAGTGGCACAAGAAGAAGCACATTAAGGTCATGGAGTGGCCTAGCCAGTCTCCAGACCTCAGTCCTATAGAAAATCTGTGGAGGGAGCTGAAACTTCGAGTTGCCAAACGACAACCAAGAAACCTTTAGGATTTAGAGAGGATCTGTAAAGAGGAGTGGATCAAAATCCCTCCTGAGATGTGTGCAAACCTGGTGACCAACTACAAAATACGTCTTACCTCTGTGCTTGCAAACAAGGGTTTGTGCACCAAGTACTAAGTAATGTTTTGCTTGGGGATCAAATACTTATTTCACTCACTGAAATGCAAATCTTTTATATAACCTTCATATAATGTTTTTTCTGGATTTTTTGGTTGGTATTCTGTCTCTATACGTTAAAATAAACCTACCATAAAAATTACAGACCCTTCATTTCTTTGTAAGTGGGCAAACTTACTAAATCGGCAGGGGATCAAATACATATTTTCCCCACTGTACTAGCCATGCAGCCTTTCTCTCTGGTTTTATAACAGCTGCACCTTTTATAGTTAATAGAACATTAGAACATTAAAATCTAAAATTGCTCTTTAAAGTATTAAAATCACTAAATTAAAAGTTAAAATCAATAAATTAAAAACAAAAATAAATAATAAAGAAAAAAGACTACATTTTAACTGCTAAGAAACACACATGAACTAATTTGAGCTTAGTAATTAGGACTGTATTAGCTTACATTTGATTTACCCATTTCCTTTACAGTTGCTGCCATCATAAAAATGCACTTATATGTAGGTTTAAAATTCTACAAAAGGCACATTTAATGTCCAACAACAGATATTTTAGCAAAATGCATATTTTACTCAGAATTATCGTGCTATTATTCTATTGTGCTCCGTCTGTTTAGTGCGCATGCGTGCAGCAGCGCTCATTCACTCGCCCACTCCTGACAGCAAAATGGATATGTTTGCATGACTCTCTAACATTTACCTGTGACTTCAGTTATGTACTGAGGAAAACAACGTCTCAAATGCATTAAACAGCACAAATATATTCACTGTTTGCCATGATGGATCGATTTGATCCATGATCGACATTAAAGACTAATCCCCGCTTTTCCTCAGGTCACCATAGTGTGATATGTCATATTCACCCAGCAGCAGTGATAAGAGAACGCGCTTGAGAAATTTTAAAGAGGAGAAATCAATCTACATATAAAATATTGGTCACTTTCTAAACAATAAAAGTATAGCGCATCCACTAGCAATTATATATAAATAAATTGGTTTTTACCAAATGCAAATATGTTAGAAACGATGCATCGCGATACAAATGCCAACTTGTATCCCATGCACACTTTTTTTTAAATTGATGCATCGCATCATTAACTTTTTATGCTGATGCACCGAGCGAATTGGGGAATCTTCCCATCCCTACTTTCAACAAGCTCAACCCTGTATTTAAATTAAAATAAATTCGATAAAATTATTTGTATTATTTATTTAATTCTTTGTATAAATCAATATAATATATATGTGTGTGTGTGTGTGTGTACACTGCCGTTCAAAAGTTTGGGATCAGTAAGATTTTTAACGTTTTGAATGGAGTCTCTTATGCTCATCAAGGCTGTATTTATTTGATCAAAAATACAGAAAAAAAACTGTAATATTGTGAAATATAATTGCAATTTCTAATATTGGTTTCCTATTTTTAATATACTTTAAAATATCATTTATTTCTGTAACGCAGCGCTGAATTTTCAGCAGCCATTACTCCAGTCTTCAGTGTCACATGATCTTTCAGAAATTATTCTAATATGCTGATTTATTATCAGTGTTGAAACTGTTGTGCTGCTTAA